CTCAGAGCTCAGAATTTGGAGAGCCCAGGGCTGGCGGCTCCTCCCGGGAGGGTGGGGGAATTGACTGCTGCGATTGCTCGGCCGCCCAACTCTCGCGATAGCCGGGAGCTGCCGCGCACCTTGGCCCCGGCTCCTGCACACTCCCCCTCAGACTGCGGTGCCGGTGCGGTCTGCGCACGCCGCGTCTCCCCTGCGATGCTGCTGCATTCACTCCCCACCACCTCTGGGCTCTCAAAGTTAAGAGCAACTGAAATATTTCATATGAGAATTCTTTAGTATGAAAAATCTTTAATGTGGACAATGGTGGGGGGGGGGGTTTTGAATGTGCCTGGATGTAGGAATTATACGCAGCATCTTTCAGGTGTGTTTTAAGCATCTGCATTTCGTTTGGCGATATAAAATCCCATTGTCGAATCCATAATTAATATGTCAATGGCAAATGGACACAGAAAAGGTGCTCAGCATCATTAGTCGTTAAGGAAATGCAAATTAAAGCTACGAGATACCGCTATACACACCCACTAGAATGGCAATGATCAACAAGACAGACAATAACAAATGTTGGCAAGGACGTGAAGAAGCAGGCACCCTCATGCTTCACAGATGGGAATGTACAATAGAACAGCATGTGGGGAAAGTTTGACAGTTAGCTTGACATTTACCACAGAGCCCTTCAATTCCACTCCTAGGAATCTACCCAAGATAATTTACAACATATATCCACACAAAGACTTAAAGGTAAATATAGTAGCCAAAAAAAAAACTGGAAGCAATCCAAAAGCCTATCAATTAGTAAATGGATAAACAAAATACGGTATATTCATATAATGGTATACTACTTAACAATAAAAAGGCATGAAATATGTGCTATAACATGGATAAACTTCAAAAATCTATGTCAATGAAAAAAGTCAGATATTGTATTTATAATTTATATTTTATGATTCCATTTACATGAACTGTTCAGAAAAGGCAAATCTATAGAGACAGAAAGTAGATTAGCAGTTGAATAATCTATGGGAAGGTAAGAACAGAAAGTGACAGCAAATAGGTACTAAGGGTCTTTATGGAATGATACAAATGTCCTAAATTTGTATTGTGATGGTTGCACAACTATGAAAAATTTACTAAAAATCATTGCATTCTACGCTAAAAACAGGTGGATTTTATAGTGTGAAAATATACCTCCATAAAACAGTTAATGATCATAATCAGTAGTAGTACTTATTGTTTGAGATGAATAACAATCACATTTCTGTCCAGATAGAGACTATTTTACTGCTTTAGCTTTCAAAAGCAATATTACAGGCTCTCAGATCTTTGGTTCTCCTAAGGCATCTGGGGCTTCTATCGTTTGGATCCAGGAAGTCTGACATTTTTCTCTTTCAATGCATTAGTGTAATATAACAATTCTTCTTCTAAATTACCCTTCAAATTAACAGTGCTGTGTAATGGGGAATTCCTACAACGATCATATTTCCATGAGGGAAAGCCAGATTGAAATTCAGCTGAAAACTCAGTACTCACTTCAATGTTATAAGATTTTATTTAAGTGTGTTACTATTACTCTACTGAAGACATTGAATAAATAATGCAATATGCTGCAGTTACAGAAAGCTAAAAATAGTATCTAAAGTGTGCTTTTATATATTTCATCTTAATTAATGCAAAGAAAAATCTGGTAATACTTCTAAATTGGCTTTTCAAATTAAAATAAACCACACAGATGAGTTAAGAGCTATAAATAAATGATAGATAACATCATCCCTTCCAAACTTAAAGTAGATACCTTCAACAGAGAATTTTAAAAATTAATGGAAATACTTCAAAATTGTTTTGTATAAATCAAGAGTTTTTTAGTTGCAAGTGATAAAAACCCAACTTGAACTAGCTGAAGCCATACAGAGGACCATATTAGATCATGTAAACAATGGAGGGAAGGGGGATATGAACCTGGAGGTGTATACACCTTTGTTTTTGGTGAGCATCAGCTCTGTTGTCTTCTATGCATGGACCTCTCCCAACCCCAGCTCTAGGCCACATCCCACTTCACAACAAAGAATAAGGGTCTCTGCCAGATCTGCTTCCAACCCTGGATGGCCCCATGCCATCCTTACTATCAGAAATACAGGAGGCCATACCTGCTGGGAACATAAACATACACAATGCTTAGAACATTAATTTCTTAATTTCTACCTCGCCTCCAAATATACACAAGACCTTCTCTACATACACAGCAAATCTGCCAGTTCTAATGGCAAGTGTTGAAATTGCACATGGTAAGAAACATTGTGCCTACTATATACAGGAATTCCGACCAGTGAGCACATTTAAGATTCACAACCACCCTGAGAGGCACTTCTCATTATCCCCATTTTACAAATAGCAGTGATACCCTTCATTTCACAGCCTTCAAACCATGAGAACAAACCCTGGTAGAAAAATCATTCATTGTTTTTGAGTGTGTCTGTCTTTCTCCCTTCTTCCTTCCTAGCTTAATACCTACCTTGCAAACTAAACTTACTGCCAGTCTCTCATTTGATTAATATTGAAGCAAAGATGTTTTAGTAATTTTCTCAAGTTGTGCTTTAGAAATATTTTGGAGGAAAAAAGCATGACAGTGCATTGTTTGACCTATTTTAGCTCCTCTACAGGAGCAACTTTTCCAAGGTTATGAATGCTTAACAACTCTCTGGGGTCTTTTTTTATTATCATTCAATACCATTACAAGTTGTCCTACTTTTCCTCCATTCTTTTTTTTTTAATCCAAGGAAAGTTTCCTTCTCTTCATCCCTACTAAAGGCCAGAAGATTTTCACCCACTGCCTTATTCATGCAGCAAATTAATTCAATAAGTGTTTGTTGAGCTCCTATAATTACTGTGAACAAAACACATGGTCCATGGCATGGCTTAGCATGACACAAATCTAGGGAACACCATTCACATACAATGCTCCTTACACTGAGCTTACACACTGATGGAAGCATAGTATAAATTGTAACCTAATCTACAAATACAGTATTATTGTTGCTACAATTATTATTACTTATAATCTGGGAGTGAAAAAAACAAAGTACTAACCACAAAATAAAAGACTAACAAAATGAGTTCATTTAAAATTTCTATTTATTAAAAGAAACAGTTAAGAGTTACAGCCTTTCATCCACAGCCAGCATCATACTCAATGGGCAAAAACTATGAGTGTTTCCCTTAAGATCAGGAACAAGACAGGATGTCTACTTTCACCATTCTTATTCAACATAGAACTGGAAGTCCTAGCCACAGCAATCAGACAAGAAGAAGAAATAAAAGGGCATCCAAATTAAAAAGGAAAAAGTAAAACTGTCATTATTTGCAGATGACATGATATTGTATATAGAGATCTCTAAAGATTACACCAAAAAACTATTAGAACTGATAAATGAGTTCAGTAAAGTAGCAGTATACAAAATAATGAAATCAGTTGCATTTTTATACACCAATAATGAACTATCAGAAAAGGGAACTAAAAAGAACAATCCATTCACAGCTGCTTCAAAAAGAATAAAATAGCCCGGCCAGTGTGACTCAGTGGTTGAGCATCGACCTATGAACCAGGAGGACTTGGTTCAATTACCAGTCAGGGCACATACCCCGGTGCAAGCTCAGTCCCCAGTAGGGGGCGTGCAGGAGGCAGCCAATCAATGATTCTCTCTCATCACTGATGTTTCTATCTCTCCCTCTCCCTTCCTCTCTGAAATCAATAAAAATTTATTTTTTAAAAAAGACAACCCACAGAATGGGAGAAAATATTTACAGACTACTAGTATATAACTGCTAAGGATCAAGTATGTAGAATACACAAAGAACTCTTACAACTCAACAATAAAAACACGAATAACCCAATTTTGAAATAAGCAAAGGATTTGGATCATTATTTATCCAAAGAAGCTATAGAAATTATCAAGAAGCATATTTTAAAATGTTCATCAGGGAAATATAAATCAAACCGCAATTAACTGCTACTTCATACCTGATAGGATGGCTATAATTTTAAAAATGAAAAATAATAAGTGTCGGTGAGGATATGGAGAACTTGGTTATAGGAACTTGGTCATACATTGCTTATGGAAGCTAAAATGATGCCACACGAAGGATCTTTGAGGTGATGGAAATACTGTGTCTTGACTGTATCGGTCAATATCCAGTTGTGATACTATAGTTTTGCAAAATGTTATTATTGGGGGAAACTGAGTAAAAGATATAGAGAATCTCTATGTGTTATTTCTTATGATTGTATATGAATTTACAATTATCTAAAAATAAAAATTTTAAATCGAATTTTTAATAGAAAAAATGTTTTCAACCACATATAGGTCTGTTTTCTTTTCATATATCCGGCTATTTTCAATTATCCATTTGTTTCAAACTCCTTACTCTAGCCACCTCCCTCTCAACAAATACGAGCAACAACAACTATTGGGTATGTGTTATGTGACCAAGAACTTTATGTACTAACTTCATGTGTAAGAACTTTTATGTATTAACTTATTTAATCCTTACAACAGATAACTTTGAATTCTACTTTTCACAGGAAACAGCAGCCTCAAACACCACTTCCTCTACTTCATTCTCGTCCATCCATGTGTATGTGTATATATAATTTTCACTATATATATGTACATATATATAATATCAGAGAGGAAGGGAGAGGGAGAAAGAGAGAGAGAATCATCAATGATGAGAGAGATTCATTGATCAGCTGCCTCCTGCACGCCCCCTACTGGGGATGGAGCCCACAATCTGGAATTGAACCCAGGACTCTTCAGTCCGCAGGCTAAACCACCTCTTTTTCTTCCTTTAACATAATGAAAAAAAAGGCCCTTTCGCAGATTAAAGGCAATCCTTTCACTTAAGCACAGAATCTACCTCTTAGGATCCTAACTCCATCCAATATCCTCTTTCTTGTATTTTGAATCCCTACCTTTCTGTTCGCTTTAACCTGTTCAAAAGCTTCCCCTAACCTTACAAATCCATCAATTCTCACACCCCTTTTCGTAGCCACATTTCTTAAAACGTGTTCACATTTATTCTTTCTACTTCCGAAACTTTCATTCCACTACAAGTTGATTTCTGCTCTTACTCTTATGAAAGCCTGACCTCTTTCCAGCATTTCACACTACTACCTATTTCTTCATTTAAACTCTCTCTTCTTTGGGCTTCTCTGACATCACTACCCTGTGAGAGTTGAGTAAGTGACACGGGTGACCTAAAAAGAGGGAAACAAAGTTATAATAAATAGGACATGCTCATTGACCAAGGAGGCAAAGGTGAGGACATCGCTGCTTTTTGATAGGGGAGTTGGGAGACTGAGGGCAGAAAGGGCTACACTGGGCATTAAAACAAAGTGACCGTGACTTTCACCCTCTTTTCCCCATCATTTTCACCCTCTTTGTTCCCCTATCCTTTGAGTGTAACGGGTCGGGGGGTAGTGGAGGGGGTGGGAGGACCCGGCTGGGGCTCTGCGAGAAGGGCGGGAGTGGAGGTGGAGGAGCACTGAGTCGCCAGCGGAACCCGTGAGCAAGGCCGCGGTTGCAGCTCGGAGGGAGCATTGGAACGAACGCGAGCGCGCCTGGTTAGCGGCACTTCCGGCTCCAGCCACGGCGCTAGCAACCTCTTGAAATGCGCCGATGCGGTGCTAGAAACCCGGGCTGGAGGCGACTCTGATCGAGGATCCTGAGATCGGCGCGGGATACCCTGGAGGCAGGCGGCTCAGAGGCTGGCGGAAGACTCCGCTCGCCGATAGCGCCGGGAGGAGACGCACACGGCCTGGCCGGTGTGTCCTTACAGCCATTCGTCCCCTGCCCGGCCCCTGGGCCAGCGGCGCGGAAAAACGGGCGGGGGCTTGGGGGCTCGGGAAATTCAGGTTAAATAATTTCTCTGCAGATCCGGTGCCGTTAAACCCTGAGAACCCACACTTTAAAAAAAAAAATGAAGAAATTAAGACTTAAAGAACTAGAGAGTCGCCTGCAACAAGTGGATGGATTCGAAAAGCCCAAGTTACTCCTAGAACAGTATCCCACCAGGCCGCACATTGCAGGTAGGGCGGCTGGTGACCACGCCTTTGCTTCTCGGGTGGGTGAGTCCTGTCTGCTCACTCTATACTGAAGTGAGGACAGTTATTTACATACAAAGAACGTCCAGAGGAAATCTGCTGAAAGGTTACATAGCACGTTAGAGAGGACTTCCTTGACACCACAGCTAAAGACACCCCACACACAGACACACACGTTGCCATTTTACTGTTTGGCTTCTGCGTGCCCTTAATACTGTGAGACATCTTTTTAGTGTGTTTTGTTTCTCTCATTACACTGTAAACTCCTCAAGGAAAAAGAATTGGGCTTTTTCACACAGTGCCCCGTGCCAGAAGAGTTTCTGATACTAGTTAGCAGCTCAGTAAATATTTGTAAAATAAGGATCAATTTCCTTTTGCAAGGAATTGTCAGCACAGATTCTATGCTTTACTCTGTCCTAGAAATGAATACTAGAGCTGGCTAGCTGAAGGACTTTTAACAAATCCAGAATAGGCGCTATATAACTATGAAGATGCATTTCAATTTTAAAAATGATCTGAGTGAGAATCAGTAGTGTTGCTTGACCTGAGAGAATGATACCAGTAATACAGGAAAGAATACAGGAAAAACCATTCATATTTAATAAACGTATTATCAAAGTCATTGGGGAGTCTTAGGAAAATTAATTTGTTGGCAACACCTGCAAGGAGGAAACTCATCCAGCTCCAACATGGTTTTGTTTCTAAGCTGCCAGTGAATGTCAAGGAACTTAACTCCAACATACTGTCATAATTTCAACCAAATATTAAGACCAGTTCACTCAATTTAGACAACGACTTATTTACTGTCTCAGGTTATAGGGTTTCTAAGTGGAATTCAGCTTTTTGAAAGGCCAGTTGTAACATGCACGTGGATGTGCTAATTCTTTACCAGCTTCAAGTCACTAACACCTGCAGCTGTAATCAGGACAGCACAGTCGGCCTGAGATGTCCCATAATTGTATTTTTGATAAAACTGGATCCTGGGGCATCAGTGATGGCCAGTAATCCTTGTAGGGTTCATATATCCATAGGGAGATATCAGTGATCTTACTCATGAGTAACCTTCAGCATATACCAGACCTTTGTGTATTTGAAATATCCTTTTCCAATCTCAGTAGCTTCTGCTCTACAGCTCAATAGTTCTATTAGGTCTTCTTAGTACAGCAGTTCTCAACCTGTGGGCCGCAACCCCTTTGGGGGTCGAACAACCCTTTCACAGGGGTTGCCTAAGACCATCGGAAAACACATATATAATTACATATTGTTTTTGTGATTAATCACTATGCTTTAATTATGTTCAATTTGTAACAATGAAAATACATCCTGCATATCAGATATTTACATTACGATTCATAACAGCAAAATTACAGTTATGAAGTAGCAACGAAAATAATTTTATGGTTGGGGGTCACCACCACATGAGGAACTGTATTAAAGGGTCGCAGCATTAGGAAGGTTGAGAACCACTGTATTAGTAGATTATGAATATATGTCTGTAGATCATAAATATATGTGTCTAAATATGTGAGTCTAAAAGCTATATTGTGGGTTTAGTTTTTTCCTTTCCCATTCTAGTTTATGGTACCTGGTGACAAATTTGTTGCAAAAAAGTTCTGTGCCATTTTAATGTTAATGCATGGTTCCTGGACTTACAGATTTCACAAATCAGTAAAATTTCAATAATTTTGGACACCGATCTAGCATTGCCAAATTTATATATTAACAAGGAAAGATATTTTTAGAACCTATGTACTCTTCCCATCCTTTCATAAAAATATTTCAACATCAAAGATAACTGATATATGTGTGTGGATGGCAATGTTTTAAACAGGTTGAGGGGAAAAACATTGACCTTATTTTTCTCATTTACCTCAAAGTTTTGTCATTCTTGGCATTGTCAGCAGAGACTAGTTTTGGGGAACCACTGGTATGGATTTTATTATTTTTGTGTGTGAGCCTTTATGTTCTAGGGTACCAATTGGGGGAGGACTAGATAATGAAATACAAATTGTTTTAAAGAGTCATTTGCACAAATTGGGATTTTGGTCATCAACTTGCTTACTTATTCTCTAATATGTTTTTTTATCTTTTAGCATGTATGCTCTATACAATTCATAACACATATGATGACATTGAAAATAAAGTGGTTGCAGATCTAGGATGTGGTTGTGGAGTACTCAGCATCGGAACTGCAATGTTAGGAGCAGGGTAGGTCCAGAATATATTATTTGGTATGGGGTGGCTTTAATAAGCATAAATAGGATCAACAGGTTATATTTATGGGACTCTATAGTATAATGAGTTAATTTTGAACGAGCAGAACTAAAAAAAATACAACAACAACAAAACCAGTAACATCAGCAGGCAGATGTCTCCCTTGTATACAAACCTGAGTTTCCAACCCCTGCTAGATTGGGAAATCATGCTGTTGAAAGGTAACACTCACTCTTGCTTTGCCAGTTGAGTTATGGTTTTTATTGTTATTGTTTTGACTTGGAAGCCATAAATAGTGGATCTTTGTCTATGTTTTGTATTTATAGGTTGTGTGTTGGATTTGACATAGATGAAGATGCATTGGAAATATTTAATAGGAATGTGGAAGAGTTCGAGTTAACAAATGTTGACATGGTTCAATGTGATGTGTGCTCATTAGCTAACAGAATGTCCAAGTCGTTTGATACAGTAATTATGAATCCTCCTTTTGGAACCAAAAATAATAAAGGTTAGTAACAAAACTCAGGTATATCGGTTTTAAAAACTAGTTGCTTGTTGATTGTTTAAGTTAAGTGTTTTTATCACTTTACAGTAAATACACCAATCTCTTATCTGTAGTTATTACATTTTCAATTTGTTTAATGCATGGATAGGGAATTGAATTTTTCAATCTTTGTTTCCACGAATTTGTATTAAAGAAAAAAAATATTTTTATACTCCATCTGGTTTCAAAAATGATTTACCTGCCCTTTATGAATGATTATGAATCCTGTAAAGTATTTTATACTTTTACATAGAACCTCCTTTTTTCTTTTTCTTTTTTTGGTTAATCCTGGAGGATATTTTTTCCATTGATTTTAGAGAGATTGGAAGTGAGGGGGGGAGGAAGAGAAAACATACATGTGAGGGACCCATATCAAATGGTTGCCTCCCCCACGCACCCAGCCTGGGTGGGGAATCTGCAACCCAGGTATGTGCCCTTGACTGGAATAGAACTTGAGACTCTTTTATTCTTGGGCCGACGTTCTAACCACTAAACCATGCCAGCCAAGGCTAGAACCCCATATATATATATAATTTATTTATTTATTTTATTTAATTTTTCCAGAGAGGAATGGAGAGGGAGAGAGAAAAAACATCAATGATGAGAGAGAATCACTAATCGGCTGCCTCCTGCACGCCCCTTATTGGGGAGTGAACCCGCAACCCTAGCATGTGACCTTGACATGAATCAAACCCGGAACCTTTCAGTCCGCAGGCTGATGCTGTATCCACTGAGCCAAACCGGCTTGGGCTGGAACCTCTCTTAGTAACAGTGACTCACTGTGGCTTTTTTTGTGTGAATGCTGTGCACAAGGAGGGTAGGAAATCAGTAAGAGGAAAAAACATGCAGTTTTAAAAAGTCCTCCTTGCACCGCCCCCCCACCTGATTCTAATTACTACTGTTCCTTTCTCCCTTCTTTTAAAGTTACTAATTTGGAATATGATACTGAAATTTTTACTTTATCCTTATTCAAATATGACATTATAGTTCTGGTTTTATTCTATCAACTTATAAGATATTTGGATGTTTTACTTATTTGTACTCTGTCTTTTTGCAAAATTTGAAGTGGCTATTTTCATATTTATTAATACCTGGTATTCATTTAATCTTCTATTTTGATAACAGGTATATAATTTAAATTGGAGCTTTTTCTACTGTTAACAGGAACAGATATGGCATTTCTGAAGACTGCTTTGGAAATGGCAAGAACAGCAGTATATTCTTTACACAAATCCTCAACTAGAGAAGTAAGTTCAAATCATCATGATATTGTCATTTATTTTTGAAATCATTAGTGTTGTAAGGATTTGCTGTGAAATGTATTTACTTGTAAGTAAATGTAAATATTAGACAAAAACCTGGGCACGTGCTCCGACTAGGAATTGAACTGTGACCTCCTGGTCCATAGGTCCACACTCAACCACTGAGCAACACTGGCCAGGCAATTCTATATTCTTATACAGAAATTCTAGATTTCAAAAATGGGAAAATATACCCAAACTAGGATTATTTATTAAATTCAAGAAAAAACTGCATGCACACACAGTGTCAGTATTGTTTATAATGAAAATATTTCCCTAAAATTTAGGGAAAGTTAGTTTATCAACCAGCTTAATCCTACTATCGACATGAATAAAATGCTTATACCAAATATTAATATCTCTAGATTTCTAGCAAATGATGCACATAATTTATAGGGGATTATGGGCAACTTTCCATTTACATTGAAATGTGTATATTTTTAAAAATTCATAAAGCAATTTTTATAACCAAAAATTTTATGTAGTTCAAGAATTTTAGACCTATAAGTAGTTAACATTTAGTACTTACTGTGTGCCAGGACAGTTCAAAGCACTTTTCATATTCCTCAACAATCAGATGAGAGATACCATTATTATCCTCATTTAACATATGAAGAAACTGAGGCACAAAAAGAATGAGTAGCTCAGGGTTACAAAGCTGGTAAGTAGCAGAGCAGCAGTTCAGATGCAGGCTGTCTAGTTCTAGAGACCATGTTCTTAACTACTATCCCCTACTGCCACTGACCATGTACATAGATCTCTGTTGAATGGTTTCCAGGATAGTTATATATTATTGATGAAATAATGCTGCAGAAACCATGGTTACGATTGTACACTTTGATGTATTTCTGAAATAGTAACTTTGTGACTTGGATTTTATTTAAATATGTAATTTGGCTCAGATGGTTAAATATATTGAAATGGCTTGGTTTATTTTCTAAATGTGATCCAATCAACTGAAAAAAATTTAAGGATCTAAATTCTAATGAAGTTTTAAAAGCTTGAATTTTTTGAAAACTTAACCTCAGGTATTAGTAAAAAGCAATTTAAAAATAAAAATATTTACAAATCAGTTCACATTAACATGTTATTATGTTCAGCATATTCAAAAGAAAGCTGCAGAATGGAAAATCAAGATAGACATCATTGCAGGTAAGAGTTTTTAAGTTTCTTATAAAACAAATCTAAATTCTATTGAAGAGAGCCAAAATGCATTAGCCAAACCAGAATTTTTATACAAGTGCTAAGAAGATAGTGTAAATCACGTTTTTTAGTGTGGCAAATGGAATAAAGGCAGGATATCAATGTTTGTCTAAGATTGTCCCAATTTATGTATTGCATTTTACTGAAAACTTCTAATAGTACCCAAGTATTTGGTCACTCCAAGCTCAGACCCTTTATAGCTTCAGTGACTGAAAAGCTTGGGTTTAGAGTTGGTCAGACCTCAGTTTGAAATCCATTCATGGAAAATACCACCAGATTATGCCTGGATCGCCTTTTTTTTTTTTTAAACTATTGCTGCCTTTTTTTTTTCTTTTCTGTGACCCCTCAGTCCGCAGACTGATGCTTTGTCCACTGAGCCAAACCGGTTAGGGCATTCTTTTTTATTTTAATATATATATATTTTAATGATTTCAGAGAAGGGAGAGATAGAAACATTGATGATGAGAGAGAATCATTGATTGGCTGCCTCCTGCACACCCTCTACTGGGGATTGAGCCTGCAACCCAGGCATGTGTCCTTAACTGGAATCGAGCCAAACCAGCTAGGGCTAGATCACCTGTCTTTCAATGTTCTAATTGCCCCTGAAGTCAAATAACATGAATCTTTTTTTTTTAGTAGGGGATAGAATATAATCATCCACACTGAGTAAATCATGCTTGGTACATTTTTATTAGTAAACTGAATATTCACAAACATTAAAATGGGGAAAGCATACAACTAGAAGCTAACTGCAATCCAAATAATTTTGAAAAGTCTGAAGAGTACAATAAGGGGAAATGTTTTTACATGATAATGAACTATGAACTAGCACGATGGTATTAACCATAACTAGATCTATTACTGTTCTTAATATAATGTGTAAAAGGTCAGTCTTTCTATTCAGTATTGTCATTCCTTATGTAATTTAAGATATTAGAATATGCAACATGGAGCACCTTAGAACAAACAATTCCAGTATAATACCAAACCAGAGCCTTGCTACTCCAAATGGAGTTTTAGATGATGACCATTGACATCCCTTGGGAGCTTGTTAGACTTGCAAAATTTCAGGCTCCACTCAGATCTACTGAATTATAACTTGTGCCTCAATGCACATTAAAATTTGAGAGCTGTGACCTATAGTTAGAATTTATGTTGTAAAATATGAAGGGATAGGTAGACTCATTGCCATCCCGCTAATATGGATCAGTAGTAAGTTTGGAGGACCTACATTATACTTTAGAAAGGAATATGAAAAAGTTGGTTTTCATTTGAGAGCATAGTAGGAAAATACATGGCTACTTACTACCATTACTAAAATCCAGACAATAAAACTTTAAAATAGGTATGAGATTGCTAGCTATTGATTAGGAAACTAAAAATAGGGAGGTACTATCATTTTCATAGGATATACTTTTGTCCACTTGTTATGCTTCTACACTCTTCCCTATAACCTCAAATTTTGGTATAAATTACCAAAGTAGCAGAAATGCCAAACTCAACTTGCCATGGGTAATCTTGGGGATACATGGCAGTCCTTGGATACCAAGTTAAAGTGACAGGTCTAAAATCTTCAGTTTACCAGTATTGAGTGTTTTCTTAATTCGTGGGGTTTTTTTAGTCAAAGGTGGTAAATGCTTGGAAATATAGTTTTATCTTTAAGTGGCTTTTTTTTTTTAATAGAGCTGAGATATGACCTGCCAGCATCATACAAATTTCATAAAAAGAAATCAGTAAGTCTCTTGAACTTTACAATAAATAATTCTTGTTATCAAGTTGCCTGAGTAAATACAGAAAGCCAGCCTGGGAGACAGATTATGGAACAGCCTATAATCCACAGCCAACACTCTACTGTAAGATAAATTATTTCTCAAATACTTTGGACAGAAAAAGAAAAAATAAACTAAGTTTTTGCTCTTTTTATATAGTATACATTTTATTCGTTTGTACTAATACATTCTCATATTACAAAGGCAATTTAGTACAAGAATCTTTCTTTCGATATTTGAATCATCTGAATAACATACAACTGTACATTAAAAAAAAAAATCCTCATTTGGATAACAAAAAGACAAGCTAAACAATAAAAAATTTTCTTTTCTTACAGGTAGACATTGAAGTGGACCTAATTCGGTTTTCTTTTTAAAAGCCTCCAAAGACAAATGCAGCTAAAAACCTAATTAAAATGAATACAAAATTTGTTTACTAAACTACTGGTCTCCGGCACCATTTTCTGTTTTCTGCTGTTTTGATGCAGGTTCTTCTTTGTCTGTTTCTTCTCTTGCTCTTTTTACTGGTCCTACACAATAACAGAATTAATTTTTGTTAAATTCATTGTAAGGATTACTCTATTTTAGTAAGGAGCACAATTACCAATGAGAAAAGGCTTTTCTTATAGTACAGACCTTCTGCTCTCTAACCTTAACTTCCAAACATTTGTTAGCCATTTGTAAAAACAGCACAACCAGGGTAAATTGCAATCCAATAATGCCACTCATACAGAAACTGAAAAACTCATCAATATTCGCTCCCACAAATAATTTCTCATGTAAGTACCAAAGGACTTAGAAAAACTTACCAGATGCACCATTTTCATCATGTTCATCTTCACTATCAAATTTAGTTTTCTTGCCCTGGAACTGTACTTTTCCTTTAGCAGACCCAGTCTGGGCAACTTTATTTCCCTTTCCTTTTCCTTTAAATCTGCGACCTAGAGAGGCAATTGAGAAATCAGTGAAGAAATGTTTTAAACATCTTGTTGGTCTTTGAACACCTATTATACTTTTTACTCAAGCAAACGAATAAATATCCTAACTCTCAGAAAAAAATAAGAATAACCTTTTGACTTCCATTTGTTGAGGGATTCTTGTTGATCATCTATGATTTTTTTCAATGCTTCTTTTTCCACATCTCCATCTAGTACTTCCCATGTCACTTCTTTGTTCTTTAATTGAAGGTTACCATTATTTGCATCTTTGGCTTTATCCAGTGCTTCCTTAGCTTTTTCTTTAAATAGAATTATTCCCTACATCAAAGACAAGAAGCCACACCCTTAAGTTTTTAGTCTCACAGTTAATACCATCAAAGTAAATTTTCCTCGTCTGCAAAATCTTCCATGCCATTACCAGTTTCAATGAATTTTAGTGAACATCAGGAAGATACTACAAAACTTGCAGTCACTGATCCAACATTTACAGCATAGCAGAAAATATCAGGTATTGCTCGGCCAATATGGCTCAGTGGCTGAAAGTAGACTCATGCACCAGATCACTGGTTCGATTCCCAGTCAGGGCACTTGCCCATGTTGCAGGCTCCATCCTCAGTAGGGGGCATGCAGGAGGCAGCTGATCAATGTTTCTCTCCCCATTCCCCTTTCTCTAAAAATCAATAAAAATATATTTTTTAAACAAAATACAGTTATCACATCGAGTCAAAGCAATATCAAAATGACAAGTATTTAAAGAAGCTATTTGCATAAACAATGATTCTCTCTACTAATGATTTCATCTAAAAGATAAATTTCTGTGGATTTTTCAACATTGGCATAAAGCATATGAATGAATGTTTCCAAACCTCTTTTGCTCCTCTGACAAAGTCTATCCATTTTATTTCACCATGATTTGAGAAAAGGATGTGCAAATCTTCTCTACAGGTCTGATCATCTAGGTCCCCTGAAAATTTCAACAAGCAGCCAATCTTTTCTTCTAGAGATTTCTACAAAAACATACAAGGCAATAAAAGTTTCTTAAAAGCAACCCCAAATCAGAAGTAGCTTATACCACTCTATACCTATACAAGGAAAAGACTAGAAACTAAAATGCTATTTTTAAGTACTTTAATAGTTGGTACATTTCATCCTTTGTTCTACAATGGCTTTTGATTTAACTAATTTCTCCAACAAGTAATATTTAATTAGTTACATATTTTAGTTATATAAGTCTGTTTATTAAATCATCTCTGGATAAATAATAATTTTAGCCAATAGTACTTGGCTATTACTTTAGCGTAATGACAACTACAGATTTGCTTACATATTTTCTGTAAAGTCCTCAGATCTTTTATTCTCAACTTTAAGTTCTTAGATATCAGTAATATATACTTACCATTTCAGCATTTTCTGCTAACTTTCGTTTTTCTTCTTGCTCTCTACAAATAAAAATATAATTAGAATTTTCCACTTACTATATGAGAAAATTAAATTATGGTAAAGATAACCTTGATCGTGATCACTAAACTTAACCAAAGCTAGTCCTTAGACTTTCTGATTGTCTAATGCTAGCACACACAATGTGGCCCCCAGATTATCAAGGCAGTTTAAGACCCCAATGTTTCATGAGCAAAAGGTAAGTAAGCCTATTGCTACTCATTTTAAAGCTCATCATCAGCCCCATTTCCCAGAACCACTCTCTACCTTTGTAAAGATTTAAGGAATTCAAATGTTCTATTAGCGCTATTTACTTACTTTTTAGCTCGTAATTTAGCTTCCACTTTATTTTGCTTTCTTTCTTCATTTTTCTTTGCAAAGTAGTCTTCCCTAAAGGACACAAAATATAGAGGCTAAATTCATGAGAACAAAGATTTCAAATTATTAATTTAAGACATGGCATAGGAATGTTACATTTTTTTCCCCATCAACATAATTACCTAAAAATTCAAAAGATATCAAGGAAGTTACTCATTTTTTTAAATAACAGATTTACTAAGAATTCACATGCCATAAAATTCACCGTTTTAAAGTGTATAGTTCAATGCCTTTTAATATATTTAGGTTGTACAACCATCACTTTTATCTAATTTCAAAACATTTTCATGACCCCCTAAAGAAATCCCATATCCATTAACAATCTCATATTGGTTTTCATTTATTATTCATGTATTTTTTACTTATTTTTTAAGGTATATTTTTTATTGATTTCAGAGAGGAAGGGATGGAAACATAGATGAGAGAGAATCATCGATTGGTTGCCTCCTACATGCCCCACACTGGGGATGGAGCCGGCAACCCAGGCCATGTGCCCCTGACTGGAATCAAACCCAGGACCCTTCAGTCCACAGGCTGACACTCTTATCTACTGAGCCAAACCAGCTAGGGCTCATTCATGTTTTTTTAAAAGTAAACCAGAAGTTATGTAAGTTTCAGAGTTTTCTAGTGTTCATTTCACAAAAGGAGAAAATTCTAAAATCCCTCCAAGACCCAAGAATAAGAACAATTATAAAAATCACATTAAAAAAGATTTCTTGAGGGGTCCTGGCCAGGTGGCTCGGTTGGAGCGTCATCCTGTATACCAAAGGGTAGTGGGTTCAATTCCTATCAGGGAAAATACCTAAGTTTTAGGTTCAATCCCTGGTCAGGGCACATATGGGAGGCAACACATAGATGCTATCTCTCACATCGATGTCCACCCCCACCCCCCAGTCTAATCAGTAAAAACATATCCTTGGGCCCCTAATTATAGATACTTCTCTCAATATGCCTCCCAGTTTTTATGAGAGTTCAAACTGTACAATACTGTTCAAAACTGAAGACTATTAGGTGTCAGTTCTTTATTCTGCTCACTGTGATACTACAGAGAAATTATTCTTCATTACTGCTCAGCAAAATCACTGTATATGCTTAATCATCATTTTATTTTTTCCAGTTTCCTTGCATTATAGTGTCCCTGTTACTGGTTTTTAAGAGCTGATCATGAATTTTAGATGCAAAATAAGTCATAAAGATGTTAACCATTTCTCATGCACTGCAAATGAAATACCATGTTTGTTATTATTTTACTCTGTTGTTTTACTTTTTGGTTGTATCAAACTTGTGTATTAAATATAATCATGTTTTGTTTAAAAACCAACAAACATATCCTCGGGTGAAGTCTAAAAAAGAAAAAACACTTTTGAGAATGTAACACTGAACATGATTCATCACAGTGCACCTCTAAGTCCAGTTTAGTACACAGCATATTTAGATTATGTTGTAGAGAGCGCCTGGGAAGGCACTTGAGCTGATTGTTGGCGGAGGCAGAGCCACGTCCTGGAAACATACCTTGCCTGAGGCAAGTATGCTGCCGGCCCTAACCTTTAGCTCAGGTGCCAGGGGGTGGGTTTCATTATCTAAGCTCAGCCAGGCGCCAGGAATGGACTCAGCCAGGAGTGACAATTATAAAGAAGCCACAAGAATGAAGAATTGCAGCTTGATCCTTAACCATGATTTCACATAACTTCCTTTGTCTTAAAACTCCAGTAAAGCTTTCTGGTATCATGCTGTATTATAATAAATGGGCTGCACCAGCTGTGGGTCACTGTCTCGGAGGGCAGCATTCCACCTGGCCCCAGTTTTCCCTACTGTCTCTGTGTCTCTTTCTTTTTTCTTTTTTTAAAATATGTTTTATTGATTTTTTACAGAGAGGAAGGGAGAGAGATAGAGAGTTAGAAACATCGATGGGACAGAAACATCGATCAGCCGCCTCCTGCACACCTCCTACTGGGGATGTGCCCGCAACCCAGGTACATGCCTTTGACCGGAATCGAACCTGGGACCCTTCAGTCCGCAGGCCGACGCTCTATCCACTGAGCCAAACCGGTCTCAGCTCTTTCTTTTTTTTCAATCCCCCGTTGCCCCTACACAGGACTCATCCACTCTCTAGCCGTGCTGGTCGTGGTAAAGAGAAAAATTATACTATGTAATGCAAAAGCAGGAGACAATGGTCCTCCATCTAACTTTATCATGCAAATGCTCTGGTTTGTCCAAATTTTTAGACACACATTAAAAAATGTGATCCAAATCCTTTGTACTATTTATAAAATACAGGCATATAGACTATGAGAACAGATAAAAATTGTACAGTGATTTATTCTCTAACACCAAAAGCCCAAACTTCAGTATCCAGCCTGATTATGAATTTTAGATACAAAATAAGTTAGCCTCATTTACTAATTGCTAACAGAGAAAAGGTATTAATAAACATTTCTATGTATTCTCAAAGGATTAAGTTTCCACTAAAGAAATTTCAAGCATTTCTCAAAGAATCCTATGGATACCAAAACTACTGGACTTATAGAGGAGGCTATTCCATATTCCTTACCCTAGTGTGTCAATTCCACATAAGTGGCCAGAAGAAACATCAGCAAAAAGACTTACTTGAAAAGTATTAGCAGATCTGTGTCTTTGTATTTTTGTCCAGGGGTCTCCACAAACTTTTTAGCAGATTCAATGCTATCAAACACAGCAAATATTGATCCCTTTTAAAAGGGGGAGAAAGATTTTTTTTTAGTTATGTCCCATATATTTTTCAACTAGAAAAAGTCTGTTACATCATACAACCATACCTTAAATGCTTTATGCAATGTTCTTCTCATCTGAATATTTAGTACTTGACCTTTATCTTCTAACCATTCTTTTATGTCATCAAGGGTTGCATCAGTAGGGAAGCCTTTCTGTGAGTAGGAAGAAATGTACAAATGACTTCTCAGGTAAACAATGAGCCAGAAATTTTGAATCCTTTTGTCTTAAAATGAAGCCAGGATATCCATCTATCCCTCCCTCCCTCAAATGTTTGACAGCTCTGGTTAAGAGCTATTGCACCGAAACCCGTTTGGCTCCGTGGATAGAGCGTCCGCTTGCGGACTGAAGGGTCCCGGGTTCGATTCCAGTCAAGGGCATGTGCCTGGGTTGCGGGCATATCACCAGTGGCAGGAGGCAGGAGGCAAGCTGATGGATGTTTCTCTTTCATCGATGTTTCTAACTATCTCTCTCCCTTCCTCTCTGTAAAAAAATCAATAAAATATATTTAAAAAAAGAGCTATTGCTATCTAGTACAGTAAGAGTGACTCTTATCTGGGATTCAATTCAAAATAATCCAGTTGTTAAAAAATTGCTATCAAGTTTAGCTGATGACAAGAACAGGTGATATGCACTGGGTGTTTATATGCTAAATATTTTATCCAATGGTATATGAGTTTTTCATTTGATTCTCACAACACTTCTATAAGGTAAAATTATTATCCCCACTTATAAAGATAAGGCTTAAAGAGATTAAGAGCATATAGTAGGTGGTGAGGGACATATCATAAGTAGTGAAGCTATGATTCCTGAGCCCTTATTCTCACCAACTCTATCATCCATTCTTTCTAAAATAAGTAAGTTATAATTAATTGCATTAAAGGCCCACTCACAATATAAACAGATCTGTTTTTTACATCATTTTTATACTCATCAGTCACTTCAGGGAGAGGTTTGTTTGGAGATCTTCTGATTTTGGTTTTATCTTCACTTATTTCCATGAGCTCTACCTTTGATTTGCTCAATGCTTCTACTATGACATTAAAGTCTGTTGTTAGACGGTTTAACCTGAAGAATATGTGTAAAAACATTGTAAGACTTCATACTAGCACTTGTTAACAGAAAATCTAAAGATGGTTTTTAAAAGGTTTTTACCTATTAAATTTTATCATTATTTCCAAAGGTACCCAGCCTTCATCCAGTTTGATTTGTTCCTTTAAAAATTTGTCCCGTGGCAAATTGAAATCACCAAAATAATACTGCAAGATAATTACAATATATTTCAGATCATTGTATAATACTGACTCCAACTCTGGAGGGTTTTTATTTTAATTACTATCACATCACTAAGTTATATTCTTTAAAAATACATGTCATGCCCTGGCCAGTATTGTTCGTTTGGTTGCGCGTCATCCCATGCACCAAAAGGTCACCAGTTCTATTCCCAGTTATGGCACATGCCTGGATTCAGGCTTGACCCCCAGTGGGGGGGGTGTGCAGGAGGCAGGAAATCAATGTTTCTCTTTCTCTCCCCTCCTCATTCTTCCTTTCTCTCTAAAATCAATAAAAACATATTTTAAAAAATACATGTCAGAATTTAAGCGGCAATATTTCCTCCTAAAGATACCATAATTAAATATTTATAATACAAATTTAACAAAAGGGTAAAACAAAAATTGATTAAACAATGCAATTAACAGATAGGTCAACAACAAATAAAAACATACCGAAGGATTTAGTATATAAAAAAACCCCTTGCTTCAAATCAGTGTGGATAGAATAAATTTAAAACCTGGAATAAACTTGTTAATCACTCCAATTTTTAAAAGTTAAAAGTGTATATTTAATTTAAGCATAGAAGCACCCTTTCTCAGTATAAAAACAAGAAAAAACTATACATGAAAAGGCCCAAGTGTGACTACTTGGAATGCCAAAAATAAGACAAACACAGAAGTCTATTAATAATTCTTAGGAATCAAGGGTCTGGAAGGAAAACCCCCAGAAAACACTGATAAAAAAATGAATAAATGACATTAAAAAAATTACTAAAACTAAACATGTACTATAAGTTCAATTCATTATTAATCAAAGAAATATAAATTAATAAAATAGTATTTTTCACCTGACAAATAGGCCGAAATCCTAAAAAGTATATCTAGTATTGTCCTGAATACAGGCAGAGATGTAAATTGGCCTTAATTATTGAAAGTTTTAAAAAATGTGTATAACCTTTAAATCAGTAAACATGTTTATTAATTTATATATAAAGATATCATGATAAAACTGTTATAGCTAAAATATTGGAAATACCCTACATATCAAATAGGGAATGGGGTATATTGCACCCCAGGTTTGGTGGAGGAAAGGGAAGGAATTAAAATCTATGTTAGTGTCAGCACTGACCAAAGTGTAAAAGTGTATTCATTGGGCTTTAACCTCGATTACCTCAGGAGGATGAGATCTGAGAGGTGACAGGGTATAGAAGGGACATCATTAATGTTTTCTTTGTGCTTCTTTGTATTATTCTAAATATTAACACAATAATTTATAATTTTCTTCACAAAGAAATTAGTACAAAATATTGCAATATAGGAAATTTTAAATGACAAAGAAGTAAAACTTTAAAAAAAAATAGTTGAGAATTGCCAAAAACACACCAAATAATATAAAGTTTTTCAGTAAAACCATAAAATAGAAACTAAGACATTACCCACAGCAGCCATTATTGTAAAGCTTCAACTTGTAAATACAAAAGTTTTTAAAAATGCTAAGTGGACTCTGCAAACAAATATTCTGTTAAAAGTTACAACAGCCGAGAACTATTTGGGCAGGAATTACAACTAAGATCTTCAAAGATATAAAGTGCTATTTAACAGGGAAGGTCCTTCACAAAGAATTATGTTACCTTATCAAGTGCCAGGCACTCTGCTGTATGTTTTACATTTTATTACATGTAACCCTCACAGCCACCTTATAAGGAAGGTACTATCATCCTCACTTTACAGACTAGGAAACTAAAGAAAAAAGGTAAGTAACATCAGTCTACAATGTTTTCTTTTGAAATGCCTGTAGTCTTCGGGTTTCATGAACTGGCTCCACCAATATAAAACAGTTGTACTATTATATGTACAACTAATTCCAAGAATCAAAGACAAGCCAAATATTGGATAATGGGTCAGTATATGACCGAAAGTAAATGTTCTTTCTGTATTTGTTCTGAGGCCCTAAATTTCCTTTCAAAGAGCCCGTTTCCACAGTTGAATAGTACAAGGATCATACCTCAATTTGATGACAGATTTTGGCCTCCAGGGCAGCCATTTTTTCATCACCATTTTCAGCCATTGTGGCCACCTGTAAATTTTTCCGAATTGGTATTACTGTTGTTTTTTTAGCACAAAACTCAAGATCAGAAAAAGAAAGTTTTAAAATGACCAATATCCCACTGTTTTCTTTAAAAATAAATCAAAAATTTTTAGTTGTTCTATTCGATTCTCAAATTTCAACAAGAGAAAGCTCTGGAATGAGTGGTGGGAGAGTGAAAAGGTACACACCCCTCTCAGTAAGTAAATCACTGCTCCATCTTCTGTAACAAAGCAAGTGGTTATCTTCGTTATGGATCTCAGCCCCACTTGTTTGCTGTGGGCCAAATTCCTTTTAAAACTAGTCACAGTTTGACTTACTGAAACCTTTACCAGCAAAGACCAACTATCATAACTTCAGGTGAAAAAAAAGTCACCTATTATTGCCGAGGCCCAACTCGATGCTGCCCATGAAGCAGCCGATGAAATGACAGCGTGAGAGCCTGCAGAGCTGGGGTAAGCGCGCCTTCTCATTCTCTAATCATTGATCGGCTCACTGACCAGCTTCCTGCTTAGCAGGGCAGGGGAGAATGAGGCTGTGAGGCTGGTGTGCGAGGGACACAAAACCACGGCCCCTCGCTTGGAGCTGCTGGCCTCCGGGGCGAAAAGTGTCTCTGCCCTTAGCCGACCCCCTCATGGCACGGTCCTCGGAGGCCGGGCGCAGGCGCTGCAATTGCTCCACAGTCACCTGGATGGATGCACACTGGCAGCCCTGGCAACAGGGCTTTACCGGCGCACATCCCCCTACCAAGTCTGCGCAACCGTATACACTGGTTTGCCGACCGCAACCTACATCCCTAAGTTACTACCATGACTTAGGGCCCCTTAGAATACAAAGGAGGGGGGCGGGGTAAAGACGATCTAGGCCCCACCAGGCTTCTCGGCCGACCCGATTGGAACTTGGCTTCATCACAGCCTCCCCAGGATGTAAATAAAGATGGGAGATATTAGCCACAGCTAACATTTTGCACAGAAGCCTTGATGTGAGTGAGTGAGTGAAGAAGACCCTAGAGGCCTAGACACCCGAGAGCTCGGCCAGGGAACACCTACAGCCCCGATCCCCGGGCCTCACGCGGTCCCACAGGATCCCAGGAGCCCCGCGGAGTCCCGCCGCGCCAACCCCCCCGGGGACCGACAGAGGGGCCCCCACGCCCGCCCGAGGCGCCGCCGCAAGGCCGCGAAGGGAGGAAACTTTAAAGACGCAGCAGGGAGGCGGGCAGCTTCTGTCCAAAGGCCCCGCCAGGGACCCGTACCAAAGCAGCCCCGGCTCGCTCGGCTCCCAACCTCGTGCGCAGAACCCCCGGCTCCGGCACTCCCCTCAGAGCCCTCTCCCATCCCGGAACAGCGCGCCGCCTCCGGCCGCGGCCCACGCGGCCCAGGACCCCAACCTGAGGAAGGAGAGAAGCCGAGGCGCCCAGCATGAGGCGGCAAAGAAAGGGAAGGCGCCGAGGTACGCCACGCAAAGCTGGGCCTTTGGTCTCTCCTCGTTAGCCCCGGGAGCTGCTCACCGTTAAGGTCCCGGTCCCGCAGAGCCGGGCCACACGACCACTGAGAACGCCTCGCCGCCGCGGCGTCGCCTCTTCTAACGCGCGCGCAAAGAAGATGGGGACTGTCCCGGCAGCCCTTGCGCCGAGTTTTTTTTGCGCAGAGGCTGGCGGGCGCCGGCGCAGCGTGATGATGCGGATGTAGTCCCGCCCCTACTCCACTGCCCTCCCCAGGAAATTGGGTTGCCGTATCCGGCAGAGTGATAAGAGGATGTTAGCATAAATATTTGTTTTTAAGTGTTTGTTTTTGAGTGAGTGAGTGAGTGAGTGAGTGAGTGAGTGAGTGAGTGAGTGAGTGAGTGAGTCAGTGAGTGTGTGAGGGAGAGAGAGAGAGAGAGAGAAGTATTATTTGTTGTTCCATTTACAGCATTTATGCATTCATTGGTTGCTTCTTGTATGTGCCTGGGAATCAAACCCAGAAACCTTGGCGTATCAAATGCTCTAACCAACTGAGCTAGCTGGCCAGGGCAGTACAGTCATTTTAGAAAGCAACTTGGTAGTATCTGCTAAAGTTTAAAATGTGTATAGCAGACGACCCAAAATCCACTCCTAATAATATATTCTAGGAAAATTTTCACATTTGTGCACAAAAAAAACATGCTCAAGAATATTCATAGAAATGTATAAATGCAAAAAAAGAAAGGGGGGGGATTAACTAAATGTCCACTAAACAAGAACAGGTAACTACGTTGTGGTGTAATTAAACAATGAAATAATAAACAATACTGTGCCCTAGCCAGTATGGCTCAGTTGGTTGGGCATCCTCCCATGCACCAAAAGGTTGCTGGTTTGATTCCCAGTCATATCACATGCCCAGGTTGCAGGTTCAATGCCCAGGAGAGGGCATGCAGGAGGCAGTTGATTGATGTTAAGCTCTCACATCGATGTTTCTCTCTTCTCCCTTCTTCTTGCTCTAAGTCAATAAACTATTCTTAAAAAAAAAAAATGTTTTATCCCAACCAGGGCTGGTGATTGAACCTGCAACCATGGTATGTGCCCTTGACTGACAATAGAACCTGTGACCCCTATAACCACTGAACACATTGGCCAGGGCAAGACTCTGAGCTTTTATTTTTTAATATTTTTATTTTTTAATGTATTTTTATCAATTTGGGAGAGAGGAAGGGAGAGGGAGAGATAAATAGAAACATCCATAAGAGAGAAACATCAATTCACTGCCTACTGCACGCCCCTTACAGAGGATCGAGCCTGCAATCCAGGCATGTGCCCTCACTGGGAGTTGAGCCTGTGACCTCTTGGTTCATAGGTCGATTCTCAACTACTGAGCCACACCGGCTGGGCAAGAGTGAGCTTTTTACCTGAACATATGGCTACCCATCTTTGCATCTGTCTATGATAGCATACATGTATGCTATTGTAAGGACCTTAACTCGGAATGAAATATAAGGGTGGGCAAAAGTAGGTTTACGGTTGTTCATGTGGAAAGATGTGCAGGTTATGATTTATAATAGCTTTATTAACAAGAATAAACCCCATTTCCTATACTCACAGCTGTAAACTTACTTTGGCCCAGCCCTATAGGTTTCATCACCAGATTTGAACAGAAGAGTGATAGGATCACAGTGTCTTATGGATTATATTGTTACTATTGTCAACAGGGATTTACCTGCTCATCAGGAAAAAACTACAAGGGAAGGTGTCTCTCCAGTCAAAAAACTGGCTGTAGCCCTCGCCGATTTGGCTCAGTGGATAGAGCGTCAGCCTGCGGACTGAAGGATCCCAGGTTCGATTCCGGTCAAGGACACAACACATGCCTGGGTTGCGGGCTTGATCCCCAATAGGGGGTGTGCAGAAGGCAGCCAATCAGTTATTCTCTCTCATCATTGATGTTTCTGTCCCTCTCTCCCTCTTCCTTCCTCTCTGAAATCAATAAAAATGTTTAAAAAAACAAGTATTTTAAAAAAAAAACTGGCTGCAAACTCTCCCCCAAGGCCAGAACTAAAGCTGCTTTACAAGTTGAGGAGACTAGGACACTGGGCAACTGCCTGGGTAGCTCTCCTTTTCCTCATATTAAATTCTTCTAAATGTTTGGTTTTTACAGACAAGGAGTGGGAAAGATAGGGATGGAATCTGATGAGAAAGTTCCTGGTCCTGGACTTGTGAGTCAGGATGCTGTGCTCCTTCCACAGATGGTTTTTAATATACTTTTGCAGATGTTTTCTCATAAAACTTTGAGTTTCCTCATTGAAAAAGTATTTCAAAGCTTCAGCTCATCCATTGCTATGGCCAAGAACATCCTTATTTGTAACTTATGGAATAAACACACAGAGGGCCACAGATGTCACTCTGGAAAGATGCCCTGTTAGAACTACTTTTCAAAATAGTACATGCAAGATGAAAACCTCAACTAGGGAATACAAAGTCACAAAATGCACTTGAAAACTAAAGCTGTGTCCAGCTAAGAGAATAATGGTAATTTAAATTGGGCACAATTTTGATTTAAATTTTCCAACCATTTCACAAACCAGGTGTTTGCTGTGATTTTGGTGAGCTTGGACTAATGGGGCTTCTGAACAGTGTGCAAGTCCTGCCCCACACCTTCTTAGAGAAGTTTCTTCTTGTTCAAAGAGGTAAAGGTTATAAATTCCATCACCTTGCCTTCTTAACTTCTTTTAAAAGCAGAGGTAAGAAAGAGAATATATATATTTTTAAATCAATAACTTTGGGTTTCTATATTTACTTAAAAACACTAGAATATAGTTTTATGTGTCTTTTGTGTTCATTGGACATCCTAAGATGTTGACAAGGGGGAAATGTTATCTTGAGGAGTCCTCCTATGAGAACTTGGCTGGGCCCCAAGAATAAATGCCTTATGATAGAAATTGGAGTACAGAAAAGCAGAAAAAAAGCTCTATGACTTTTTCAAAGACCTTCAAAAAATTATGGAGAACAAAGTCCTGTAAAACTTTCCTACTTTTTTATTTCCTAAAAGTCCTTAACATTCTTTTCTCCCATGTGACTGAAAACCCAAGTCCCAGTAAGATAAGTTAGTAAGAAACTAGAAAAACTCCCTGGCAAGTGGAATAAGAAAACTGAGACAAATGACTGAACAATCAGCTGGAATAGCTGGGCAATTAATAGTCAGCTGATAAATCATAAGACTGTCGTCCCTAACCAAAGACACCTAGGAGCAGGTGGTTTAAATCACCTTAGAAAGGGAGAAAATAAAACACACACACACACACTAATCCATGATAGAGGTGAAGCTAAGCAGAGAATAACCCTAAACTCCATTACACACTAATTTTATTTTTTTAACTTATTTCAAATAATTTTTTATTTATATTTTAAAATTGATTTGAGAGAGAGAGGGAGGAATGGGGACAGAGAGAGAAAGAGAGCGATGATAGAGACACAGATAAAGATAGAAAGAGAAACTCAATCAACTGCCTCCTGTACGTCCCTTCTGGGGGATGGAGCTGAAACCCAGGCATGTGCCATAACTGGGAATCTATCTGGTGACCTTTTGGTGCCTGGGATGATGCCCAACCAACTGAGCCGGGCGTACAGGCTCATTTTAATACATCAGCATACTAAACGACACACCCAGAAATCTACTAACTATTCTGTTGAGATCCTCCCCTGGGATTTCTCCTAAAATTCCCGCTGGTAGAAAACAGATAAAACCCACAGGACAAAGGACACCAGTGTGTGCTGTTCCTTGAGCAGGCCCGTGCCCCCTTTCTTAGTTGTGTACTGTGCTTCTTCTATCCTAAGCTCTAAGGTCGGATGAGACTTGCACCCAGGAGAGCAAGTGGTAGCAGCAACTCATCCGAGCTTACCTCCTGGTCCTGTCTCCAGGGGTCCTTCCTTTGCCTCAGTCCGAAGCTTTAAGAAACTTACTCTCACTTTCACTGAAGCTCGTGTACTGAAATTTTTCCAGCACAAGTCAAGAACCTGGAGGTGGAGAAAGGTCCTGGACCACGCCAGGGCAGAGCCAACCCTGGTGTGGAAGAGGCCCAGGAACACCAGGTGGTAGTTTGTCAGTTTTAGCCCCACTTTCTCCTTTGCTTTCTGTTTGGAATTTTGAAGAATTACAGAAGTATTGAAAATTCATACCTAAACTGCACATTCTGAGACTGGGATATGTCTGTGTAAGAGAGGGGTGGGATAAAGCAAATGAGTTATAATGTGCTAACTAATTGTTTTCATTGGTGACTTTGAGAAGCAGAAAACTTTCTGTGGGCAAAGGGGCTATAGATGTTAGGAGAGAGGAAGTTGGGTAAACACCCTGTGTTGCTTTTACCACTTTCCTGGCAATTCCAGGATCTTAGAAAGTTTTAACTCTAATTACCCTTCTACCTTTGTATTATTATTGTGTGTTTTAATTTCAGTCTTGAAGTTTACTAGCAATAAACATCCCTAGAGCTTAGATAAAGATCTTAAAATACCATTACTCACTAACAGACATCCGAGTTGCTTGGAGAAATGGCTGATTCCAGGTGTGGGGCTAAAAAGGATATTTTCTCTCTCTCATCTTTTAAATTCTTTTGGCTGGGCTAATAAATTAACAGAGACAGATTAACAAGAGAAAATCAAAGCTTAATACATGTGCATGGAGAATTTATATAAGCATGAAAATTTCAAAGACAGTAAGGCAACATTGTGTATAAAAAACATTTTTGGACAAAGAAGAAAGAAGGGGAGGCGGAGTATTAGATTTCAGAAGTGAGAACGGGTGATATTCAGGTGGTTGAAGAGGAAGGGAACATAAATGGCAGGAGAATTCTTGTTAGGCAACTCTGAAGCAATGGGACACAGGGTGTCTAGGCAACAGGCCCAGCCTGAAGCCCTCTCGTTTTCTGCACTTACTTCAAATTAGGCTGAGGCAAACATCCTAAGATTTCCTCCCTGGAGTAGGCCTTTCCATCTGAATCTCTTACACAGAAAGGGAAGGGTCAAAGGTTCTTTCCGACTCTTTTCTTTCTTAATAAACAGCTTAAAATCAATATCCCAAGAGGCAAAACTTTTGGTCCTCTTCACAGGTTTGAGGCAGGAAATGTGCAAAAAAAGTATAAAAAACAATCTGCAGTGCCTTCTGATGTGGCTGTATTTAACCCAGTT